TTTTGGTTCACTTGTGGATTGTCCAGTTTACCAGCGAGCTCGCAGGATTTACCTTCACCGACACTGCCACATTACCGCTCTTACCTTATCTTCCCTTCTTGCAGACGGCCCTGCCTTTCACTTACAATCACTTTATGACTTTTTGTTAACAACTGCTTTACTATACGAACTCTGACACATAGCCCCTAGCGTCCCTCCAGCCCTTTTCTCCCCTCACCTCTGAGCCCGTCTTCACCTAGCTGTTTATAGCCCCGGCACTATTTTCTGCCCCACAGCGCTGCATGACCCTTGTCGGTTTAGCACTTTATTTGATTATATTATAATGAGGGGAAATGCTAAATCCATAGACAGCACTGCATGACCCTTTGGGTTTAGCACTTAAACTGATTATAACAATAATAATAGATCCATAGCAGTCAATACAGCATATAGAGAATGGGAGGCTATTAGGCTCAATCCAAGGAAGGGGGAAGGTATAGCAACTTCCTTGGCTCAAGAGCCTCTCCCTAGCATAAACTGTAACCACAACTTTTTCAGTCAGTGGTCTGTCTATAACATTTATTTCCTGTGGTGTCAGCAGAGGTGGCACGTTTGTCATTGGCTGTAAGCTACAGTACATCAAATTTTAATGAGTGGGGATTATTATTACTATTTCATGGGAAAGTACTAAACCCATAGGGGTCATACCATACCTAGGGAATTAAGTCATTAGGTGTGATCTAAGGGGAGGGGTATCTCCAGTTTCTGTTTCTTGGATCAAGAGCCCATCAGGAGCATCAAGGCACCCCTTGTAGGGAGAGGGATGGGTGCATTTAACCCTTTCAGGGTCCCCAGGCTCTCTCCCAGACTTGTTCTCAGGGTCGCCCAAATTTCAAAAAAAAAAAATTTCTATTGAAAAGATAGAGAATCTTTTCCTGATCATAATGACATGAAAAGTATGAAATTTGATGGAAAACTTATGGAATTATGCTCTTGTGAAGTTAGCGGTCTCAACGATGTTTACTCATCGGCGATTTTGCCCACTTTGAGCCCTATTTTCGGCCAATTCCATTGTACTAGTCGACAAAAATCATAACTATTTTGCTAGAACTACATTTTTTCTATCGAATGAGTACAAGAAACCACCCATTTATCGATTTCAACTATCCAATACAGTGGTCAGAATTTAGCAAATTTGTCAATTTCACACAAATTTCAAAAGATGCCAATTTCCAAATAGGTTCCAGAATAAACAAGAAAGACATTCCTGGCACTAAAATAACATTTCCTCTGTTCATTAGTCACATCCCCACGCCCCTCTTACAATCTTTTGCTTTCCACTTTGAATTTTTATTCTCACAAAAAATAGAAGATTTACTGTTATGCAGACTACTGCATTAGTGTAGAAATGGTATAAATAATATTGGCGCACTTGTGAAAGAACATTAGACTCACCAGTTGACGTGTATTGGACGCTTAGCATGATTTGTTTACTTTTGAACTTTGGTAAAAATTGAACATTTCTGCTACTTTGAGCTCAATTTCAAGGTACATTTCATTGTAAAATCAGTCAAAATCGTCTCAATTTCTGTAATATGTCTTCCATTCTATAAAATGAGATCAGGAAAACTAATAAATACCATAAGAAAATACAGTGCAAAGTTGCTGTTTTAATCCAAAAACACAGTCAAAGTTTTTTTTTTCTCATTACACACTGTGTGTTGCAGGATTTTTTTATACTGCACACACTGACCACATAGACCCATTCTTTCATATGTAGGCCTACCAGCTTTCTCTCACTAGATTTGAGGGCGCTAGAATTTAGGCGTGCTAGTACGTCAAAAACCCTGGTGCGTAAGCCGTACTAGTACGTCTGAAACCCTGAAAGGGTCAAGCTTAATTTGAGGCAAGGGTGGCAGCTCCACTTTCTTAGATTAAGAGCCTTCCATTGTCATACAAATGACTCTCACAAAAAACTCTAATATACAAATGACATTTTTAACTCATGTTGGTAAACAGAAAAATTTAGAGTACAGGAGGGCCTCGCTTTACAGCACTTCACTTCACAGTGTTTTGCTAATACAGTAGTTTTCGAATACTGTACTATATACATTCTTCATTTATTTGGGCTTCTTCTTTCAACAAACCAGTCATATCCCACCAAGGCAGGGTGGCCCAAAGAAAAACGAAAGGCTCTCCTTTTAAATTTAGTAATACAGTGGACCCCCTCATAACGATTACCTCCAAATGCGACCAATTATGTAAGTGTATTTATGTAAGTGCGTTTGTACGTGTATGTTTGGGGGTCTGAAATGGACTAATCTACTTCACAATATTCCTTATGGGAATAAATTCGGTCAGTACTGGCACCTGAACATACTTATTGAGTGAAAAAATATCGTTAACCGGGGGTCCACTGTATCTACAGGAGAAGGGTTACTAGTCCCTTGCTCCCAGCATTTTCGTCACCTCTTACAACATGCATGGCTTACGGAGGAAGAATTCTGTTCCACTTCCCCATGGAGATAAGAAATAAACAAGAACAAGAGCTAGTAAGACAACAGAAACCCCAGAGTGGTGTGTACTCACCTATTTGTGGCTGCAGGGGTCAAGACAGCTCCTGGCCCTGTGTCTTCACTGATTGCTACTAGGTCCTCTCTCTCCCTGCTCCGTGAGCTTTATCATACCTCGTCTTAAAACTATGTATGGTTTCTGCCTCCACTACATCACTTGCCAGACTATTCCATTTCCTGACAACTCTATGACTAAAGAAATACTTCCTAACATCTCTTTGACTCATCTGAGTCTTCAACTTCCAAGTGTGACCCCTTGTTTCTGTGTCCCATCTCTGGAACATCTCTGTCTCTGCTTGTACATGCATGTATAGTGTGACCCAAGTGTAAGTAGAAGCAGCAAGACATACCTGAAACCTTGCATGTTTATGAGATGGAAAAGTTTCAGGTATGTCTTGCTACTTCTACTTACACTTAGGTCACACTACGCATGCATGTGCAAGCATATATATATGCACCCCTCTGGGTTTTCTACTATTTTCCTACTAGTTCTTGTTCTTATTTCCTCTTATCTCCATGGGAGAATGAAACAGAATTCTTCCTCCATAAGCCATGTGTGTCATACATGGCGACTAAAATGCTGGAAGCAAGGGGGCTAGCAACCCCTTCTGTATAAATTACTAAATTTGAAAATAAAAACTTAAGTTTTTCTATTTAAGTCACCATGCCTAGGTGGGATATGGCCAGTTTGTCGAAAAAAAAGTAATGTGTATTGCATGTGTTTTTAGGCCTAGCTCACTTGCTCACTTAACACAGCCTCTCCTCACTTAGCAACACACTCATTTACCAATGCCTCGGACTTACGATGAGCTCTCTGACCAGTATGCATGCCTAAATAATGTATGTATATTAGAGCTGATTTCCTCTATTTTGTTAAGTTACAATATACGTTACCACTGCTGTAAAACAAACCTTTAAAATACGCATACCAGAAATGTTATAAATATTGCAAAAGGTGTTACATTAAAACAATATCACAAGATAATTGATACACAACCCACCATTAGTATGCTCCTTCACTATCTGTCAATAATTCATTTACCGATTGGTCCTAGGAAGGACGAACTTCTGTCTTGTAAGTGAGAGAGGCTTCGACAGGGGATAATTGTTAAATGTTAAAGAAAATTAAGTTTTGTTCGGTTTTACCACCCAGATGGAGTTCCGTCTTAAAGACCACATTGGTAGACAATTCGTATTAAGTGAGAGCATACTTATAATGGTTAGGTGGTTTGCAACATCTTTGTTGTCACCTGACATTCATTTACATGGTCTAGAACGACTCTCTATGAGTACATTATGTAAGATTTATTTTACAATGAGTTTTCTAAAAATGTCATCTTTTGGGCAACATTGTAGTTAATCTTTATATTTTTTAGCATTTATTATAACATTTTTAGTATACAGTGGTACCTCAAGTTTCAAACAGCTCCCAACTTGAGCAATTATGTAAGTGTATTTTTGCAAGTGCTTTTGTAAGTGTATTTTTGGGGGTCTGAAACAGACTAATCTAATTTACATTATTCCTTATGGGAACAAATCTGTTTTTTATCGGCACTCGAACAGACACAAACATCTCTATGACATTCCCCATGTCCGACTAAACCTTTACAAAAATTCAATGTATGTCAAAGGCCCTAAAATCTGGAACACCCTACCTGAAAACTCTAGAACTGCAGACACATTCATCACCTTCAAAACTACCATCAGAAAACATCTTATCTCCATGATACACCCTGTCAACTAATTACACGAATACCACCTGGTGGTTCTCACTTACACTCACTCACCCATTTGACCATAAACAGAAACATCAATCTCAATCTTAAAATAATGAATCCTAACTAGTCATAAGTTGGCCTGTGATACTCCAATACTGAAACTATGTATTGTGCCAAAACAAAAGCATTCACATTGCTAAACTCACAAACTAGTATTTAGTCACTTAGCCATAATACCAACTTTCCTCATAATTTGTAATATTTTAAATTTAAGATTTAATCTGAAGAATTGAGACACTTATGCAACACATGGGAATCTTTATTGAAGAAACGTTTCACCACACAGTGGCACAGTGGACTGATGAAGCCACTGTGTGGCGAAACGTTTCTTCAATAAAGATTCCCATGTGTTGCATAAGTGTCTCAATTCTTCAAGTTGTCGGTTTTCAAAACCATTCATCACAAGATTTAATCTACGTCTGCCCGAAATGCCTAGCCATGCTAGGGTTCTAGTGGTACACTCTGTAATTATTATTTTACTACATGTAAACCACACAATAACCAAATTCTGTAAACTCAGCATTGTAATCCTTATAGAGAATAAACTTTGAATTTGAATTCTGGAACAAATTAAGTTCATAACTCAAGATACTAATGTATTTTTAAATGTTTATGCAGTAGTATACTGTATACTGTAATAAACAGAATAGAGGAAATCAGCTACGATATACATTATTTAGGTATGTATGCTGGTCAGAGAGCCTGTCTTAAGTCAAAGTCGTTGGTAAACGAGTACATCGCTAGGTGAGGTGAGGCTGTATTTTCCATTGATTTTCACTTTACAGCAGTAGCCTGGAACCTAACCTGCTGTATAAGTGGGGCCCTCCTGTACTGTATAAGCAATTGGTTGCAAATTTATAGATTAAGAAACAAATTACCTGCACTGCATAGAATTAATATAGTAAACTTCCAATAAAAACATGGTGCTATAATTTTGTGTAGTATTCATGCCAAAATTTTGTTGTACACATATACAGTACTGTGTATCTCAAGTGAAGCCTCAAAGTTACCTATAATGGTATACATGTTCAAATGCTTCAGATGACACCCTTTACCCTTAAAGAGACGAAATGTTCCAATTATCCCAGCAGAGGATTAAATCAAAATCTCATGATTTTTCCTTAAAAGGTTGCAGCTGTTTTTGTAATTTTGCATTTTATTCAAAAAAACAAGTGTTCAATCCAAATGATGAATGTGGAAATTTTTTTTTTTGCCATTTAAACCAAAGACTATGCTTCAAAAATGACAGTCGTCCAAGTTCAATCCACAGAATCTCTTCTCTCCCGCACCGTGAATCAGATTCCCCGGGAAAGAAGAAAACGTTAAAACGTTTATGAGCGTTAGGACCAAATGATTGTTCAGAGCTATTTCAAACACACAATGGCACATACACATACCACATAATAAACACTAAAAACACATAATAAAAAAAAACACTAACAAACATATATTTGATTAAGGTGGAAGGAAGTCTGAATACAAAATTATGGGAAAACGTCAAGGCAAAACACTACAAGTTTAAGTAAAAATGGTAATGCCTAGTATCCTTATCCTGTTTTGCAGTACAATACAGAACTGTATATATAACTCATGTGTTAAGGACAAGACAGCACCACAGTACAAATTTGGACTGCCAGGCCCCCCTCCCCAGGGTTACCAATGCCAAGACTGGCACCCAGAGCTCTACCAGAGACAACATTTCTCACCAACTGCAACACACAGGGAGCAAGCCACTGGGCTGCTTCCACCAGGGCTTGAAGTAGCATCCTAGGGCAGTTTAAGACTGTTAGCTCACTTTGGGAACCTATGAAAAGTCATCAAATTAAGTATATATAATGCTGACATACCTACCAGTACTCCCAAATGCCTAATTATTATTATTACAATGAAAACTAAGCACTAAACCCACAAGGGTCTTCCATATGCCTAAATAAATTAATTTCCTCAATATTCCCTTCCTCCATTCTGATGTCAAACCCTTCATTGCCTTGATTACTTTTACTTGTATCACCTTACTTTTTTCTGTGTTCACTAATAACTTTCTTCTTTTAAATACCATCTCACACTCCTTCACTAACTTCTGTCAGTTATGTATATCATTATCATTTTAAATATGATCATTTAATTTTTTTTGGAAAATAGTATATCATTCTTAAACTTTTCAACACTTAAAGACATCTCAAATGTTTGGAGAGACTACCTAGAAGGCTTCCCTTTTAAGAAAGGGGTCTCCATGGGAGCTAAACATCAGAAATAAAGATGCCTCCCTAGTGCTCCACATTTGAATCGTATGAAATTATTAATTAGTTACATCAAATCCTTTTTCATATACATTTTTGAAAGAGTTGTTATATCTAGTTTTTTAATACTGTCTTTCACTTTTGAACAAAGTGGAGGTGGTGGTGGTGGTGGTGGTGGTGGGGGTGGTGGTGAAGGTGGAGTTTGGTTTGGATACGAAGTCACAATATCATTAGATTTATCTGAATTATACGAAAGAATATTACTCTCTGTAGATTTGGCCTGCACTGACAGTTGCTCAGAGAGATCGGATACCATTTCAATGCTGCTTTTTGATATTTTTGTGTTATTGTTTGGTAAAGGTACTTGTGGTGTTAAGAACTGTTTAGGGAGAAGGTGTCTATTAACAGTTCCACCATAAATACACACAGGACCACAAAATTCATACCCAAGTTTTCCATAAAAGACCTGTTGATCATGCGTTGATAAAAAAATTGTGTTAAAACCACAAGCACGAACATATTCTTCAGTCTTTGTCATCAACAACCGCCCATAACCCTTTCCTCGTAGATCTTGACGAATGACCACAGACTCAATCCAGGCTGCAGCTTGTTCTTGGGGCAGCATATTTATTCTTGCATGTCCTATTACTTCCATTTTTCCTTTTGAAACATTTCGTAGAAGTGCAAGGGAAGTGGGTAACTGATCACATGATGAGTGTAGAGATCTCAACCTAAAAAATTAAAATTAATTATTGTTTTATGCAAATACGACAGACATTTAACACTGTGTGTTTCCTAAGGTTTAATGTGGCACTATTATTATAGTACAGTCCTAACTAAACTGGGCACAAAAAGTGGGTCCACTTTCACAACATCATGTTATTCACCTCAACTTGTATTGACAGACACAAAATATATCTAAATGTGCTCATTTCTTGAAAATTTTATGACTTCACTTTCTTTACTAAGATAATTTGAATGTGATACAGCATTCACATTTATAGTCATTCTTTCACCTAAAACAATATATCTTCCTTGTGCCCGGTGGCCTGGTGGCTAAACCTCTCGCTTCACACACGGAGGGCCCGGGTTCGATTCCCAGCAGGTGGAAACATTTTGACACATTTTCTTACACCTGTTGTCCTGTTCATCTAGCAGTAAATAGGTACCTGGGTGTTAGTCGACTGGTGTGGGTCACATCCTGGGGGACAAGATTAACCCTTTGACTGTCGCAACCCCCAATCCTGAGGTGTCTCCTGGTGTCGCAAAATTTAAAAAAAAAAAAATTATTTTTTCTTATAAAATGATAGAGAATCTTTTCCCGATTGTAATGACACCAAAAAAAACGAAATTTGATGGAAAACTGACGGAATTATGCTCTCGCGAAGTAAGCGACCTCGGCGCTGTTTACAAATCGGCAATTTCGCCCACTTTGAGCCCTATTTTCGGCTAATTCCATTGTTCCAGTCGCCCAAACTCATAGCTATTTCTTTAGAACTCCATTTTTTCTATCGATTGAGTACAAGAAACTGCCCATTTACCGATTTCAACTACCTAATAATGTGGTCAGAAATTTGCAATTTGGCCAATTTCACGAAAATAAAAAATATGACAATTTCAAAATAAGGTCCAGAATGAACAATGCAGACATTCCTGGCTCTAAAATAACATTTTCTTTGCTCATCAGTCATGTCTCCAGGCCCCTCTGATATTACTCTTGCTTTCTATTTTGAATTTTTATTCAAACAAAAAATAGAAGACTTACTATTATGCAGACTACTGCAATACTGTAATAATTGTATAAATAACATCAACCCATTCATGACTGCATATTAGAATGGCTAGTTGGACATTTATTGGACAATGGCATCATTTGTTTACTTTTGAACATTGGCAAAAATCAAACATTTTCCCTACTTTGAGCTCCATTTCTAGGTTCTTTTTATAGTAAAATCAATCAAATCACCTCTATTTCTATAATATGTTTTCCATTCTATCAAATGAGACCAAGAAAACGAGAATACAACCATAAATACTATACGAAAATAGACCACAAAGTCGGCATTTTAATTAAAAAAAAACGGTCGGAGTTTTTTTTTTCTCATTATGCACTGCGTGCTCCAGGATTTTTTTTATATGGTGCACACTGACCACACAGACCCATTCTCTCACAGGTGGGCCTACCAGCTTTCTCCTGCTTGATTTGAAGCCGCTAGAATTTATGAGTATATATACGTCAAACACGGTACCTTGTAAGACGTATATATACGGCCGCGACAGTCAAAGGGTTAAGGACCCCAATGGAAATAAGTTACAGTTCTCGATGACACACTGGCTTTCTTGGGTTATCCCGGGTGGCTAACCCTCCGGGGTTAAGAATCCGAACGAAATATTATCTTATCTTATCTTATCTCTTAAAATTAACAAAGGACAACCTGGGATGCCCTTTATCCCCCTTTCCTTCCACCTCAGATTTATATACCTTTAGTCATCCTATTCTGCTGTCCTCTCTAAATGCCCAAACCACCTCCACAATCCCTCCTCAGCCCTCTGAATAATAATATTTGTAACCACCACACTGTCTTCTAATATCGTCTCTGAATTCTCTGCATGATAGTTACACCAAGGGATTCAGGGAAACCGGCAGGCCGGACTTGAGTCCTGGAGATGGGAAGTACAGTGCCTGCACTCTGAAGGAGGGGTGTTAATGTTGCAGTTTAAAAACTGTAGTGTAAAGCACCCTTCTGGCAAGACAGTGATGGAGTGAATGATGGTGAAAGTTTTTCGTTTTCGGGCCACCCTGCCTTGGTGGGAATCGGCCAGTGTGTTAATAAAAAAAAATAACATTATTCTCAATCATGATAGCTTCACTGCTGCCTGCTTCCTTCTTACTGCAATCTTTAAAGTCCATGTTTTGTACCCATATAAAAGTGTTGGCACTACACTACTATACTGTACTCTTTGATACATTATTATTCTCCCTGCTGATGATGCCAGGAAATCAAACTTATCAGTTTTCTTGAATTCTTTCATGATCTCATACAGTATTGATAGTATACTGTATTTGACTTAATATACTTATAAATCCATGCTTTTCATAAATACAATAGTCTGGTGTGTATGTATAGGTAAGGAAAAAATATTTTAATGAGAACTGTTAAAATAAAAGAAAAAAGGAAAACAAGTCAGAAGAAAATATGATTTCCCTCTATACAGTTCATGGTGTACAGATTCAAAAACCTAAACAATACAGTATTGTAAGTGAACCACTTTCAGATTAGATCTAAAGGCTACTACAAGAAAATAAAGGTCTGACCTGAGAGTTTTACTGCGGGGCCATTGTTCATTCAGTATGTTCATACAGTCATCCATATACTCTGGGTGTCGATGAAGAACAACAATCTGGGTTTCACTATCCTCTCCATTTGAGCCAGTCATTTTTGCATCTAGAATATAAGCAAGTGGTTTAATTAGGTTAGTAAGTAAATTTCTTTAGACACGGGTACACATAAGCACAAATATCATACACAGTGTAAATTACCTAGAATAACCAAAAAAAAAAAAAAGTCAAACAAAGTGGCATTTCTTTTGGGGTCCCTGTAATATCTTATTTAAATCCTACAAGTTAAAACATCTAAGTTACTCAACTGTTTAAGGCTTATAAGTTTCATGAGGTTTATTAAGATTGAAAGTCACGTGTACATTAATATCAAGAATACCAGTTGGTATATTGATAATGCAAGTAGGTTTAGAAATTTATTTAGTTATTTATTTATTTATTTAATAATTTGAACATGATACAGAGTAGTACAAAAGAATACAGTTAAATGCAGCATGCCAAAGCCACTTGTATGCATAGCATTACGGGCAGACTTAAGATTAACTAAGCAATGATGTAATGAGTGATAAAACATTATTGTAAACAGATAACAATAAAGCACAAATGAGTATTACAAAGACAGGTCATATGGTTGCATGCATTGCTGTGCATTCAGTAGAATGGAGTATTCTGTTAGGTAGTGTATTTAAAAAATAACAAAGTTATGATATGAGAAATTATAGTATGTCCCTATTAGTGACACATGTAGTAGTGTTAGTGAAGATGTACCTTGTCTATAATGAAGTATGGCAGGAAATGTAGGTAGGGACTGAATACTTGTACATCTGTATAATGTATATAAAATCTACTAAGAGGTGTTACAGACAGATATTAAGTATTAGGATTATAAGTCAATCTGACTTTTTTTACTTTTTTTGGGTTATCCTAGGTTCTTTACACATATGCTGCTATGTAAGATAATCTATGTTACTGTATTTGTGTATACCTGAGTAAACTTACTTACTTACTTGCCCGAAATGCCCCGGCATGATAGTGGCTTTCTTCGTGCTTAACAAATCAAAACTGTAATTACACACTGTAACCTTTGCAAATAGAATATTTATCTTTACCTTTATCTTTTATGCAATTTATTAAGAGGTGTTAAGGATATGTACAGTATATTTAGGAGGTGTTCAGGATACATACAGTTTACTAAGAAATGTTCAGGATACATACAGTTTACTAAAATGTTCAGGATACATACAGTTTACTAAAATGTTCAGGATACATACAGTTTACTAAAATGTTCAGGATACATACAGTTTACTAAAATGTTCAGGATACATACAGTTTACTAAGAAATGTTCAGGATACATACAGTTTACTAAGAAATGTTCAGGATACATACAGTTTACTAAGAAATGTTCAGGATACATACAGTTTACTAAGAAATGTTCAGGATACATACAGTTTACTAAGAAATGTTCAGGATACATACAGTTTACTAAGAAATGTTCAGGATACATACAGTTTACTAAAATGTTCAGGATACATACAGTTTACTAAGAAATGTTCAGGATACATACAGTTTACTAAGAAATGTTCAGGATACATAGTTTACTAAGAAATGTTCAGGATACATACAGTTTACTAAGAAATGTTCAGGATACATACAGTTTACTAAGAAATGTTCAGGATAGATACAGTTTACTGAGAAATGTTCAGGATACATACAGTTTATTAGGTGGTGTTCAGAAGAGGTAGTTTACTAATAAGTGTTAAGGGTGGGTAGTTTACTAATAAGTGTTAAGGGTGGGTAGTTTACTAATAAGTGTTAAGGGTGGGTAGTTTACTAATAAGTGTTAAGGGTGGGTAGTTTACTAATAAGTGTTAAGGGTGGGTAGTTTACCAATAAGTGTTAAGACGTTGGGGATTACTAAATGATGTTCAGGATACGCACAGTTTACTAAGAAGTGTTCAGGATACGTACAATTTATTAAGAAGTGTTCAGGATAGGTAGTTTACTAAGAAGTAATCAGGATTGTTTACTAAGATGTGTTCAGGATACGTACAGTTTACTAAGAAGTGTTAAGGGTGGGTAGCTTACCAAAAAGTGTTCAAGACAGTTGGTTTTCAAGATGGTCAGGATACGCACAGATTTACTAAGAAGTGTTCAAGATACGTACAATTTATTAAGAAGTGTTCAGGATAGGTAGTTTACTAAGAAGTGTTCAGAATAGGTAGAGTATCATGCAGCAGCAGGAGTCACATCGTTGTTGTTATGGTTGTTAAGGGTCACTACACCTCACAATCTTGACCTCTGCTTCTCTTCATCTGCAAACAAAATCACTAAAGTCTGGACAGTATCAGGAAGGGAAACCAAGGTTTCCTATGGGTAATATAAAAGGAAAAGCAAACAGGAGATGACAAATGAGTAAGGTGGACCTCCTCGCCAGTGACGGCACCACCACCAGCCCAGCTAAAAATAAATACTGCAGACAATTTGTGTGACTATTTATCTGTACCTAATTAAATTTACATACACAAGACACATAAAAGTTCCATGTTTCAGAATAAGAACCTGTACCTAATTAAGAAGATATATAAAAGCTCCATGTTTCAGAATAAGAAACATGTAAGTAATAAATAACTAGTACCTCACACCTTAATAGTTATCGCCTGGAAATTATCACAATTTCTTCAATAAAAATCGTAAATTGGCAGGTACTCAGCCCAAACTTAAGGTGAACCTTGAACTATATCAGATACACCAGCTCTGTCAGAAAACCTTAGTTCCTTCAACATTCTGAGTTTTTACGTAAACATTCTCAAGTGGCCCAGGAACTGGAGGTCAACTCTCATAAACATGGAATGCTTAAGGTTAATGTGTCAGTAACATGTGCCTCAATAAATGCAGAGTAACTATTAGAACCCATAAGAGGCCCAGGCGCTAGATATCAACACCTTCAAGAGGCCCAGGCACTGGAGATCAACACCTGCCTGAAGCTCAGGACCTGGATCTCAACATCTTCAAGTGACCCAGGAGTAACACCTGCAAGAGGTCCAGGAGTTGGATATCAACACCTTCAAGAGACCCAGGAGCCGGAGATCAACACTTTCAAGAAGCCCAGAAGCTTGCTTGTGCCTCTACATACTCGAGAAGCCTAACAACTGTAGCTTAAAATAACTAAAAGGCTCAGGAGTTGTAGATCAACAGCCTCAAGAGACATAAGAGCCGCAATTAATACCCTCAGAAGGCCCTGGAATTTTAAATCAACACCCTTGAGAGGCCCAGGAGCTATAAACCAAAACCTTAAGAGGCCCAGGAGTTGTAAATCAATGCTCTAAGAATGAAAGTAATCTTGTCAACGTCTCAGGAGGCCCAAACTGCGAAAATAAACCCTAATGATGAAAATCGGTGTGATATGGCCGTAGAGTTTTATATTAAAAAATTTCCCAATAAAGATTTTCAAGATTAGTTAATCTCGCTTTTATATTACAGAAACCAAGACTGATCTTTATGAAACTTACAACAATTCTTCTACGTAATGTGTGAGAGCATATCGCATTAATAAGTTATAATTATAATAGTGATATACAATTCCCAAACTTACATGAGTTAGGCATATCTATTTCCAGTAGACCTCTTAAAAATAATATCTTTATTTCTACAAGTACATGTACAGGGTATACAGACCATAGCTGACATCAGTGACACTATTATATAGAAAACCGCTTGTTATACCTGGAGTTTACCTGGAGAGAGTTTCGGGGGTCAACGCCCCCGCGGCCCGGTCTGTGACCAGGCCTCCTGGTGGATCAGCGCCTGATCAACCAGGCTGTTGCTGCTGGCTGCACGCAAACCAACGTACGAGCCACAGCCCGGCTGATCAGGAACTGACTTTAGGTGCTTGTCCAGTGCCAGCTTGAAGACTGCCAGGGGTCTGTTGGTAATCCCCCTTATGTGTGCTGGGAGGCAGTTGAACAGTCTCGGGCCCCTGACACTTATTGTATGGTCTCTTAACGTGCTAGTGACACCCCTGCTTTTCATTGGGGGGATGGTGCATCGTCAGCCAAGGGTCTTTTGCTTTCGTAGTGAGTGATTTTTCGTGTGCAAGTTCGGTACTAGTCCCTCTAGGATTTTCCAGGTGTATATAATCATGTATCTCTCCCTCCTGGGTTCCAGGGAATACAGGTTTAGAAACCTCAAGCGCTCCCAGTAATTGAGGTGTTTTATCTCCGTTATGCACGCCGTGAAAGTTCTCTGTACATTTTCTAGGGCGGCAATTTCACCTGCCTTGAAAGGTGCTGTTAGAGTGCAGCAGAGTATTTCGGGCAAATTAGGTCAGTTTTGTCCCAGGATGCGACCCACACCAGTCGACTAATACCCAGGTACACATTTTACTGATGGGTGACACATAGACAACCGGTGTAAAGAAATACGCCCAATGTTTCTACCCCTCACCGGGAATCGAACCCGGAATCACCGTCTGAAGCGAGAGCTTTAGCCACCAGGCCACGGGGCACTATCCTCAGCCAGACAAAGGTGATTAAATATGGAGACAAAAGCAGTGAAGTACAAATGACGAGATCAGTTCATCTGCCTTGAGCATAGTTTTGAAGTTGTCAGTCCGTCAGCCTGGAGAAGAGTTCGGCTCCATAATCTTGAATAAGCTTAAGCTTCTTAAATTGTTGTGGGGTTAACATAAATATTTATAGCTCGTGAACAACTGAAGGTGCCTATCCAGTGCCTTGTTGAAGACAGCCAGGGGTCTATTGGTAAGTTTATTCAGGTAGTTACACATAAATACAGTTACATAAATTATCATACATAGCAGCATATGTGTAAATTACCTATGAATGATAACCCTCCCTCCCAAAAAAAGGTCAGACAAAGTGACTTATTTCCATTGGGGTCATCCCCCTTACGTATGCTGGGAGGCAGTTGAACAGTCTTGGGCCCCTGACACTCATTGTATTATTTCTTGGCGTACTCGTGGGGCCCCTACTGTTCATTGGGGGGATGTTATTTTAATATGCATTATGTACAACATATTTTTTTTATAATATTAGTCTTATAGTTTAATTTAAGACTGTCCGAAATATTTTGCATACCTAGTCGCTTATCCTTGTAGCAAGCATCCAGTCTTAGACAACTATTATAACCAATATATTTTGGTAAATGACGTTATGGTGTTTATCCTCTGGGAGTTTTGACCCCATGTGAGTTTAGTATTTCCATATGATTATAATGTTTTTATGTAGAATTTATTTTCCTCTCCGGGTGGGAATAACGTGTGGCTTCTCAAGAAACATGTGGATAATTAGGAAATATTCGTCATGAAACAGGACAAGTGTTTCCTGAAGCAGGTCTTTGTCATATGATGACCTGCCACTGGAACTTTTGGTCATCTGACCGAAGCCTTCCACTGGCTTACCCTTTCACCACTTTAAAAATTTATGTTTATATCTAGTATTTTGTGAAGGGATTCATGGAAACTGGTTAGCCGGACTTGAGTCCTGGAGGTGGAAAGTACAGTATCTGCACTCTAAAGGAGGGGTGGGGATATTTGCTGTTTGGAGGGACATCTGATGTTGAAAGTGTTTCTTTTTCGGGTCACCCTGCCTCGGTGGGAGACGGTCAGTATGTTTAAATAAAAATTATATCTAATGAGGACGATTTTTTTTTTATTCGCCGGTACTCTCCCGGCCCGGGTCTTTTCCAAGTAGTGGTGACCCGGCCTTGGCTCCCTATCTGGGGAGTGTCTAGAGACTTAAGTCTCCCATGGGAGGAGGTACAAGTACCCCCTCATCTTTGGGACCAACTGTCCCCAGGCCTAGCCACATTCCCCGCCCTCACGGGGCTCGTAGGGAGAAGCTAGGCCTCTGGTCTGCCATCTGCCCCGCCCTAAAAGGGCTCGTGGGGATGGCAGTCTTATGAGCTGCAGATGGTAGTAAGCTCAATGAGGACGATGTTCCTGTAAGTGAATCTATTATTTTACTTGTTTCTTTTTTATAATGTATTACATGACTATGCATTTTATGTTATACTTATTTTTTTAATAAATAAATAAATAAATAAACGGAAGTAGTGTTTTTTGTTATAAATTTCTAAACACATTATTTTTATTAAATTCATGTACCTGCAAATATACATGTTGTGCACTGCATTACATTAGTATCATAGTGTGTTTATATCCTTTGTCTTGGGTAGTCAAAATTTTATCTTTTGGTTAAGGTTTGGTACTCTTTATTAATGTCAATGTTCTGTGGTTTCAAAAAATTTGAAAACCTCTGTCATAATACTCTGATCTTCAGTGACCTAGCTCGACCTTTGCTGTCTCCTGACCTCCTACTAACATGGCTTCACATGTAACTGTCGTTGTTCTTCATTACTCCCGATTCGATAACGGTTCATAATGAACGGAAACAGCCGTTTTGGGATTGATGTGGATATATAAGACCTCAGCTGTGAAGAAGAAGCATAACAAAGGATTGAAGGGAGTCGGAGAGAGAGAGCTAGTCACACCTGCGCTACATTGTGTGCAGGCCATGTAGGTACCAATCAGTACCTGGAGTCAGGCGCACCCTAGGGCCGGTGCCTGGGTCTCTCTCTCTCTCTCTCTCTCTCTCTCTCTCTCTCTCTCTCTCTCCCCTCTCTTCCTCTCTCTCTTTTCTCTCTCTTTTCTCTCCTTTTCCTCTCTTCACTCTTCTCTCTCTTTCCTCTCTCCCCTCTATCTCTCTCTCTCTCTCTCTCTCCCCTCTCTTTTTCCCTCTCTCTCCCCTTTTCTCTCTTTTCTCTCTTTTCTCTTCACTCCCCTCTGATGAAAAAAGTGAATGTTGGGCCTAATAGTTAAATTCCTTTTTAAAAACCGCTAAAATTTCAGCTTTAAAAAGGCCCCGATTTCATACATAAATTTTAAAAGGGGGTTAAGGATTAAATACGATTTTAGTTATTCCTTTCTGTGAAGGAATGAGATTAAAGATCAAAGTTGCTTTTCGTATTCATGAAAGAAGGGCAACTGCAATTTTTTAGTTCTTCCCTAATAATTTAAAAATTTTATTATAATAAAAAAGGGGAAACGCAAAACCCCTAAATTTTTTCAGCGCCTGTGGGGGGTGGAAGGTAAATTTCGGGGTTTTTACAGGGAATGGATACAGATCCAATTCCCTAGATCAAGAGCCCCTAACCGGTTCCCAAAGGAAAACCCCCTGAGAGGGAAAAATTTAAAAATAATAATAATAATAATAATAATAATAATAATAATAAAATAATAATAATAATCTAAAGTTTAGCCTAATTATATATT